TAGGAAATGAAATAATGGATTTTTAGCAATCCAGAGAAAAACTGAGCAGAGGCTCGTAAAGAAACCTAAAAGGCAATTTAGTTATTGGATTAACAAGAAAATATTGATAAGATTCTGATTAGTAGTGATCAATAAAACCTTTACGAAAAGGAAACACGTTAAGCAATTAAATTACTGCTGGAAACGGACGAATTGAAGCATCGACTGTTCGTCAAGATACGTAGAATTTAAATAAGCTTTACTAGGTAGTCGAAAGAGAGTTTAGACGGTAGTAGCTAAGAATGGTGTCATTAAAATCACAAATGAAGGCATTAAGGGACCATCAGACATCAACTCGCGGGCGGCATATATACCTAAAGACAAAATGAATATGAAAAGTTAAACTATTTTTGAAAATTTAAAATTTTTTGGTCTAATTGCAGACTTTGAAAAGGTAGGAATAAACATTTGTATATGATTAAATGTAAAGGAGAATCGCGAAACAATAACGAGCTCAGTATGGCAGGGATCAACCATAATAAAAGAAGTAAATAAGTAAATAATTCTAAGTAAAGCATTCATTTTAAGTGTGCTCAGATACGGATATGCATATTGATGTGTCAAGACTTAGAATAAGAGTTAATATAAGAATGGTAATTTAGGTATGAATAGTTTGGAAACATTCAATGAGTGCTACGATTCAAAGCAAAGAGAGGTCGTCAAATCTCAATTCGTGAGGGTCATATATGTATGGTGAAGATTAAACGAGCGAAAGGCTGATTCATAGAAATAGGTGTAAGATTTTATGCTATAATAAATGTTTCTTTTTCAGCAACCGCGACTCTTTGAAGAAGTGGAGTCGCTACAGCGTTCCCCGCTAGAAAGGGTTACCTTTTTCGTCACGTAGCGTCTTCCTTTACGGCAAAACGTGAGATTGTAGAACGGAAGGGTTGACGAACGGGAAGCAACCAATGAAGCTCGAGTTGTCACCGAAAGTCTTCTACGGAGTAACGTGTCATATATACTGCCCGAGTTGGCGTACGACACCAGATTGGTTTGTATCCAGAATCTGAAGACTGCGTTAGTACGAGTCTGGACCAGCCGATTAACGGGATTAACATTTGTTATCCCGAAAAGTAGCATTATATTTCGATTCTCTATAAGTTAATGATCAGGACGAAACGTCACCAGCATCAATTTTTAGCTTTGGAAGAAATGTGAGATAGTCAAAGAACTTTAAAATGATTTCGTGTTAGGTATTTCCTCGGTCTATTATGTTATGACTTGTTCCCCATGTTACACAGCTGGTAAGTTACGCACTCGACTTTCATCGCGTCAAGGAAAAAAACTAAATATGACTTTTTCGTACTGTCTTTCATGTGTATCTGAAAGAAAGATGAAAATCAAAAGCATTTTTATACGGTTAGATGTGTATAAATTTTATTTACTTAAAATCTCAAAACGAACATATCAGTACCTGGTTTTTCTTGCCGCGACATAGTATAGATGAGCACATATATATACTTTTCGCCCCTTGACTGGAATATTATGCAAGCACAAGTGTAAATCAGTATGCATTTCAATTTATTTATTTATCATGACAAGGACGTTTACATTTACTCAAAATTTTCATTATACATATTTAAAAATTTCTGTCTAACTCACGAATTCTTGGTGGAGCGAAAACGACCACACATTGCTTGATGTAGCAAGCTATCAAAACAATGTTTGCAAACGAAACACTCGTTGGATTCTCACTACTGTCTGAACATGTGTTAGGGTCACCACATACATACTAGGGAGGATTAACCTAAAGCCATAAGTAAATTCTCACAATAAGTAGTTCTGTGACTTTTCAGCATTGAGAACAACCTAGTTAGATTCACTGGACATACCTTAGCCGAAAGCGTTTGATCAACCATCTGTATAAATTCATCATCTGATATGTCGTGGTACATATCTCCCTGGGTAACGAATTAGCTTAACTCATCTAGACATTTCAAATTTCTTCTAGACATATCCTGAGACACCACCGTTCCTGATTTTTGTTTTCACTAGGTAAGAGAGATGTTACGAACAAAAGGCCTGTGAACCTTTGAATACCCGTGGCACCTTCAACATCGATATCGAACTGATTGAAAATACAGAAATTGGTGATGACAAGCTGTCAGACCCATCATATAAAATACAATAAAAGAGCTCAGCAGTATAATGCGTTCAAAAGTGCGTATGAGGGTTAAAGCTAGAAAGTAAAAAGATTATTGGACAGTACAATATATACACCAACCTTGAGGCCAAATTTTACCCGTTATTTTAACCTTGTACGACACTGTCAAATGTTCTGTTCCTTATTACGAAAATAAAGTAAGAAAAAACCAAAAGGAAAATATATAAAGCCAAGTTCACTTTCAAGTCTACTATTTACTTGAATTTATTTTCAGTAGAACGTTATAAATCACCGAAAGCATGAAACAAACGCACTCATGAATTATAAGACATGCACACCCATAAAGAACTACCAATCTAACTAAATATAATGCAGTCGAATCGCATCACCAAACACCTGTGACTGGACAAAAATAAAAAGAAGTAGAGGTAGAGGAGTCAGTCGGCTTATAGAATCTCGTAATGTCGATTTTAGAGAAAGGATTCATACAAGCATAAAGTTTTCGTTCTTAAAAGTGTAGTTCTGTCTGGCCCATCTCTGTAGCAGTCATGTCTAAGACTTTTGTTAACCTAATCACCATTTATGTGTGATAAATGTGCACACCCCATATTTAGGCAGATTTTCGGTGAATATATCATCACCACACAGTAAGCGACAGGCAGTGTTAGGTTATCATTAATAATCCAATTTAATTGTCTCTCAGATAAGGGGTTTACTGTCTCAGAAATTTGTCATGGTACATATCTTAAAGAGCTAGTCTGCAGCTTTATGAGATACAGTTATAAACTGGACTCAATACGTGTATTCATTTACGGAATTCAAGTCGTTTTTAAATCATGGTTATGTTGATAAATTTGTATGGGCACTTGTGATAACTGCTGTTTCGAATAACTTCAAACTCAGAACTTTTATTCGGTAACCTTTTTGGACAGCTTCCGAACCAAAACTCACTGCATTGCTTCCTTTAGAAGCTGTACATCCTTAAACATCTATTTACCTACTTCCATAGCAAGATTCTGATAGTTTATGAAAACCAAACTGTGGGCCTTTCATACCATCACTTCTAAAAGTTGTTTTGAGAGCACAAAACATTGTATTTGGTACATAATATTGGCCTATTATTAATGCCTTACGTACCTGTTCTAACCGTTATTATAGTCTTATACAAGGAACACTGATAATTACAATCTGTCATCCTACTTACTTACTTACGCCTGTTATCCCCAATGGAGCATAGGCCGCTCACCAGTTTTCTCCAACCAACTCTGTCCTGGGCTTTCGTCTCCAGTTCTGTCCAATGTTTGTTCATTCTTCTCATATCTTTCTCTATTTCTCTGCGTAATGTGTCCCTTGGCCTTCCTCCTTCCCTTTTGCCTTGAGGGTTCCATGTGAGGGCTTGTCTTGTGACGCAGTCAGGTGCTTTTCGTAGTGTGTGTCCTATCCACTTCCACCGCTTCTTCCTGATTTCCTCCTCCACTGCAATCTGGTTTGTTCTCTCCCACAGTACGTTGTTACTGATGGTGTCTGGCCAACGAATCCGAAGTATTTTGCGTAGACAACTGTTAATAAACACTTGAATCTTCTGGATGATGGCTTTGGTAGTTCTCCATGTTTCCGCTCCATACAGTAGAACTGTCTTCACATTTGTATTGAAAATCCTGATTTTGGTTTTGGTTGAAAGTTGTTTGGAGTTCCAGATATTTTTCAACTGTAGAAATGCAGCCTTTGCTTTGCCAATCCGTGCCCTCACATCTGCATCGGATCCACCTTTCTCGTCGATGATGCTGCCCAGATATGTAAAGGTGTTAACGTCTTACTTTCAATGTATTTACAAGTCTGGAAAATAAAATTAGGTGCTACGATAATAAATCACAGTAGCTCTGAATCGCTTCTAACAACGATAATTTACTTCTTATTTGTGACACGTCTCTTCGTTTCACAAAGGCGTCACATACTCTATTTGAGTAACGCAGCCTCCGGTCTGTCTTTGTCCAAGGTGTTACCTTTGGTGATTTAGTTAGTCGGACGGTCACTGGTGACTCAAGCCATGAATCACCATGCATCGAATATTAGAGTACGCCATGAAAAATGATTAGCCCGTAATATTTATTTGGTGACACTGCAGACTCCAGTTTTCTTACCTTTGTCTGTCACTAAGTGCTTCTTCATAGTTTCTCCACAATAGCGATCACATCAGACTGAACGACTAGTTACATTAGTTAGGTGTGACTGTGGGACTGGGTTACATCAACTACAATTTACGTAATGATACTAACTACATGACGCGGCAAGTATATTAACTGTCAACATTCTCAAGACCTATGTTCATATATTTTTGCTGACCGCCCTTAACCATCTATTAAATAAAGTAGTGCTCCGACTTATTCTAATAGCCTGATTGTATATGCAGTTGAAAATAAAGACCAAACAGTAGTTTTTTAGTGATAACGGTAACTGCTTGTTGCAGATATCTTAAAAATTTCAAGTTAGTAGCTTTCAATGTGAATAAAAATATTATACTTGAGGGTCTTAATCTATGCAGCTCTCGTAAACAATTCCTAAGTATACTTATCATCTGTGAAGTTCGGTAGTTTATTACTCGCCCAGAAATAAGCCAATCTTCATCTGATCTCCAGACTACAAAGGTATGTGTGTTCACTTAGCACAGTCGCTGCCCATAAAACTGACCAGATACCAAACCACAAAAATCCACTTTTTTATTGCATTTGTACGAAGGCAAATTTATTTTGACCCTAACTGGTCATATTTACGAAGTGTTTGTTTGCAGCATTACTAATTCTCCTTTTTACTGTTTTGCTTTAGAAGTTTGTTTTGAAGCTTTTTGTCCCTAAAAATGACTTACCATGAAATGTACAGAAGCACTACACTGGGGACAACCCTTCGTGAAGCCCTAGATGAAATGCTAGCACATAATTTGTTACAACCTGGAATGGATCATAAGGTAGCTTAGTTCATATGGAATTATTCGGTAATGTTAACTCAGGTAATGCAGAAGTTCGATCAATGCATAAGTAATGCTTTGGCAAAGCGTGTTAAAAATCGACTTTCGCTTCGTGGTCATCTGAACACTTACAGAAACTGCGACAATGTATGGACTTTAGTGATGAATGATGTGGAAATAAAGGATTCTTCTGCTATTATGACAGTTGATAAGGTAGGCCTCATTTTCTCGTTCATTTGTAAGATTTAAATCTGTTCATGTGAGTTAACCACAGTAAATGTATGTCATATTCTTAATGTATTCGACATCATCATTATAAGATATTTATATACTGTTTCATGCTAACTATTGCGTGTCTCTACCGAATCAGTTAGAGCTGATTGTCCTTGCTATTGACCACATCAAGTGGTGTTTGTTATGGCCACCTGTTATCCTTTTTTTACCCAATTCCATCATAGTTGTCCTAGAAGTGATTATTTCCTCATCTAACGTTTTAGAGATTGACTGCCTTCTTAAGCGACAGATTAGTCTAATTTGGTGCATATAGTGAGAAAATACGATTTTTTGACCAACCCGTAGAAGAATACACATATATATCTTATACAACTCCCTCACTTTTCTTCAGAAGTACTTATTAGGGAATACATAGTCTAACTGTAGGGCGTAACTATGTCCAGGTCGTAGGCTACCTCACTAGGTAGTTTCTATCGAAAAGTGGAGCAGCGGACTACTATTTGATGCACACCACTTCCAACTGGTAGGTACCGAATGCGGAACCTCATCCCACATCTTCAGTTTTGCACTCGTGTAATGTCATTTTCTCTCAAATAATTCAGTTCGACGCTCCGCTTGGTACGTTACATCATCCTTCAGGTGGTGTTCGCCAGGGTTGTCCGCTCTCTTGATTCTCTGATAACTTTTTTATCAACATGCTTTTAGAGACAACACTTCCATCGTCTGAACTTTTAAGATTTAACTTTTTACCAAGCGGTTCACTTGTCTTAAAATATACCGATGATACAGCTGTATTTGGTGAAAACACTGACAAAATGCAGAGTCTTCTGACCACCTTAAGCAACAATGCAAGTATATTCGGTATGCGATTCTCCCTGTTCGAATGCAAGATGTTGCTTCAGTATCGGCATGTGAACTGGTGATAAGGAGTGAAATAGTTGATCGTGTCTACAGCCTCACTTATATCGGGCCTCATCAGTGCTGATGACCCGATATGTGGTGAAATATGAGTACGGTACAGAAGGCTCGACAGGCTTCTGACAACTTGCAACACATAACGTAGGCAAGATATTCGTCTACTGACTGAAGGACGAGTGTATTGCGCGGTAGTTCGCTCCGACCTACTATATAGATGCAAAACATGGCCAGTAAGCGTCGAAGATATTCGTAGACTATTAGTATTCGATGACAGATGTCTTCGAAGCATTGATTTTGTATCATGGGACAACCGAGTAAGCAATGCTTTTGTTAGGAAACGGGTGCTAGGTAACGAAACTTCATCAGTTGAGATGGTTGGGACATGTGTTGCGTATGCCTCAGCACAGATTGCCTCGACGAGCTTTGTTTTGTAGTGTAGGAGTAGGTTGGAAGAAAATCAGGGGCGGCCAGACCAAAACATGGCACAAATCCATGAAATCACTAACAAGTGGACTGAGTCATGTTGGTAGATGTAGGCTACCTCGTTGGGGTCCGCGAGATGAAAGTCACCAATGGTTAGAGACCTTGAACGACATGGCTCAAAATCGTTTGCAGTGGCGCACGTGCACTCTTTGTGCTCTCTCAAATTCTAATCTTCTGAGTACCTTATGAACGTTTCTTTACAATTTATTTCACTGGGATATACTTCTTGAATCATACTTTCGATTCTTATTCTTTTTCATTACTGATAATACTTTTATTACTATGGGATTTGAAATAACAGTTGCATCTCTGTGCTAATGTGGTATGGCAACTTGAACTGTTGTATGTACGTATCAAGTTCTTCATTGTAGATGACTCACTGATGTATCGTGATATCATTATTGTATAACGCATATTCGAAATTTATCTTACTATTTTCCTGTCTACGTGAACCGTCGATTTCGACTAGTGAACGTTTAGTTGGGCCCAAAGTTGTTAGTTACTGTAGTTTATTTTTCAGAGCCTAGTTGCGTCAGATTAATTTACTTAGCTGTTAATAATTATAAAAACGTGTTCAGATTTGCTAGAAACGTAATTAATTACATAAAACTGTTGTCGATAGTCTGAATTACTTTTTTATACTGCTACAATAACAGTAATAATTTTTGAATTGAAAGCCCACCTTAAATTTATGTTTTCTTGTTGATATAAGAGCCTGTATGGAATACTTCAAATTGGTGTGTTAAAGGATTATTACTTCGAATTACATATTGTATTGCGGATTATTTAGTACTGTGTCCAATAAACAGACCTGTATGTTTTAGTAAACTTATACACCAAGCATTGATTTTCCAACGAAATACTTTTAATCTAATACCGGTCACCTTAGACTTTGACTGCGTAATTAACATCTGGTATATACTGTGTGTGTATGTGAATAGTAACTCGGAATTTTGTTACTATATTCAGCAAAGTGACGTTGCACTAATAACTAATCATTTAAATTTTTCTGTCAACTTTTAGATAAAAATAGTTGCTTGTGAAGGCAAGAATGCTAAACCAGCCTCCTCAAAATTAGTTCCCCCCTCAGCCAATGATCGCTCAAGGATAGGTGCTGGTATCGGTGGCGAAGATAATGAACAACCTGAAGCTTTTGGTTCTGGAGATGAAATTTAATAAATCAACATAATTACTGAGGTGTAATTTGTTAAGTGTGATATAAGAAATAACTTGTACAAACAAAGCTAAGAATACATTCTTTTTTATCTAAGAAATTGTTCCTGACACACATACATGGGAAAAGAATTTCAAAAACATAAGGCGTAGAAGTCTCTTCATTTTCTAATGAAATAATATCAGTATGATAAAATGTCACACGATTCCCTGAAATTAAGCCTGATATGCAGTGGAAGACGCTGAACCACCATGACCTGTCCAATCGACATGAACAAATGTACCTGGATTATCAGTCTTTTCAAATTGATGAGCTCCAAAGTAGTCACGTTGAGCCTAAAAGTGAAAATAAAGATTGTTTAATTCGTGAAGTTCGTTTCTAAGGATTAGTTTATATTAAATGGTCGATATGCAACAGTTGAACAAGGTTAGAATCTTACTTGTATTAGATTAGCGGGTAAATTTGGACACCTTATTCCATCGTAGAATGATAATGCAGAACTGAATGCAGGTGTGGGAATCGCGTTCAAAGCTCCATGAGAAACCACTCTACGCCATCCATCCTAGAAAGCAAATCAAAATAATACACAAAATATTTACTAGAAAAGTAGTATAACTGAGGCACATCAGGAAAACACCATTTCAATAATTTGTTCTCCGTACTGACAAAACTGTTTCTTTTCTATTGTGCTGAATCGATATCATAGCTTAATAATAAACCTGTTCATATCTTTGCGTCTAGAAAGATAACATAGGATGAAAGAGTCGCATAAAACTGTGAGTCGCGAGTTGTATTTCTTGACTAATAAAATAACCAGGTACAATAATCATCTTAGGTTATCCTGTAATTCCTAAGAAACATGCAATATCTACAAACAATTAGTACATCTTATTGTTATCGTGTTGAAGCTCTTCCTCTTTAGCTTTTGATGAAATGATCATTATCACTCATTAGTTATATAAAAGCCTCAAAACATAACTATTAGTTGTACAGTAATGTATTACTTCACCGTATATCCAAATATATGTACTTGGCTGAAATTCATAGTTGTTAAGTAATACCTAATAACATCTAGATTACTCAGCACTCATGGGGATTTAAACCAATTAAACCATTAAATTGAGAAGCAAGTGCAAAGTTTATCTATCACCATATTGTTAAAATGCTTAATGAGTTTTGGTTTTTGGAAAAGAATCACTGTTACGGTCAAGTGATAAACCGTCAAAAAAGAGCAATCAATAAGGTAATTCACTATTTCTTCTATTCTTACTAGTATATTTAATAGGTTAACAAAAAAAGATTAAGTTGATATATATTGATACAAGTAAAACTAATATTATAATTCATCGCCAAAAGTGATTGTCAATCACGTAGTGTTAGGTTAATTAAATATGCTTTAAGATAGTAGTTTAGTGGTTCACTGGGTGACCTAAAAACAAATATGCAAGCGAACGTCATGTAACACGTAATGTTCTATAACCAAAATATGACCTAATTAATAAGAGCAGATAATTATCTATTTGTAACGCCATTTATGTATAAAACTTACTTGACATTCATCAATAGCTTTTTTAAAGAATGGATCTAGCAGTAGATTAGTTAGATTTGGATTTTTTTCATAAGCTTCTTTTATATTTCCAAGAAATTGACTACAAAGAATTACAAACAAAAATAGTAACAATATGTAATGAAGAAATGCATAGTTATATTAAACGAAATGAAATAAATTTCTTTAGATACACCGTAAATCAACATACAAACATTAAATTAGTGTATTTAACTATGGTAGTCGGCTAACTTTACCAATTTGATAAAATTAAGGTAGACAGAAGACGATTCGAACTTTTGAGTTATTCTATAAAAAGATGAGAATTGTATAAGAGGATGACTACTGACCTATGCTATGCAGAAGAACTTTATACTCGAAGTCGGTAGATACTATACAGTCGAGTTAGCCCTTTTAAATATCAATCAATATTCTTTATATGAAATATTTTACACAAAAAGAAGTCTGGAACAGATCAAAACTTCTAGCTACTATTTTCATAACACATTTTTTCTTAAAAGACGAAAGATTAAAAGCCATTTCCATACCAACTACCTCGTAACAATAAAACTGAAGAGGAAGCACACGCTTCAATGTAACAGCTAATAACACTATTTACAAGAAAGACGCTAAATTTAACCAAACATGAAATCTTTCTCTAAAGTAGAGATTTATCTCTCCAGCTTGCACGAAAACCACTATTCAAACAATGGCTATGACTACCACTTAGTCTCCATTGAATCAATCAACTTCTAACGGCTGATCGTAGTACAGTTGCTCAGCATTGTAGTGGCATTACTGAGGTAACTGAATAGGAACCTCGGTGAAGGTTGGTTGATATCAGGAAGTTGGAATAAAAAATTAGTTGGCAAGTTCGTTTTATGACACATGGGTATCCGTCGACCTGAAGGGACTAATACACACTCATAGGTTCGAAACTTATACCATAACCACCTTTCCTTAATGAATGGATTGTGTAAAATAGAAAGACGGTAAATGGTAACTAGTTCGGTAGTTCAGCGGTATCACTTAATTGAGAAACCGAGTGTTCATGTTGAAATTCGTGATATAGCAGATTGGGAGGAAGTTTCTTCTTTCATAACCTGACCATTAGGTCTTGTTTAGCCTACTTCATTTAATTTATGCTTCTTCTGATGTCTTTCAGTGGATTCAATCAAGTTACCATGTGTAGAGCTTTCAACTAAGATACCCTGTGTTCCTTCAGTTGCTCAACGTATATACACACTCAAACATATCCATAAATACATAAAAAGTAATAACCAACCTGCGTATGATGCATCCACCACGCCACATAAGAGCTATTGCACCAAGATCCAGTTTCCAACCAAAGGCTTGCTGTGCCTGTTGCAACAGCATAAATCCCTGGGCATAAGATACTATTTTTGATGCATACAATGCCTATAATGCGGACAAAATAGCAAGTGAGGCAGTTGTTAGCGTAAAAAAGGAGCAGAATTTATCTATGAAGAATAGGAATTTAAATATCCTAGTATTTTCATACTTTAGTTATGTAATAGATAAGTTGAACTTATAACTGTCATCTGATATTTGAAGACATACAATAACTCATATAATTTATAAATGAAAAAACAATTTTAAAGCGCTCATACTCATATTGACGATGAAGTTAACAGTGTAAGGAGCACTTAAATCTTGAGCTTATTGATGCAGTTTGTAAATAAGTCAGTCAGTTGCAACGTAGAACTTCGTACGTATGTACATAAGTTCAGGTTGCCACACCACATTAACACAAAGACGCAAATGTCAAATCGAATCCCATAGTGATAGAGATAGTAGAGGTATTAATGGTAATGAAGAAGACTAGGGTTTGAAGATATTATTCAAGAAGTAGGATTCAGTGAGATAAGGTTAGAAAGACAAAGGGAGAGGTGCTGACGATTCCAGAAGATTAGGATTTGAGAGAGCACAATGAATGGATGCACTTGCGCCATTGCAAACGATTTTGAGCCATGTCGTTTAAGGTCTCTAACCACTGGTGACTTTCATCCCGCGGACCCCAACCAGGTAGCCTACATCTACCAACATGACAGTCCACTTGTCAGTGACTTCATTGATTTCTGCCATGTTTTGGTTTGGTCGCTTTCTTCCAACCTACTCCTACACTACTAAACATAGCTCGTCGAGGCAGTCTGTGGTGAGGCATACGCAACACATGTCCCAACCACCTCAACTGATGAAGTTTCGTTTGTAAATAAGTATAAAATCAAAGTTCAAGGAATTTTGTTTGAATAGTTGTAAAGCAATGGATGCAGTAACTTATATTAAGAAAATATTGATTTGTAGACTTCAGATTTACAAGCTCAAAGCATGTTTTATGTAGTTTAATAAGCGTAAACTAGAGCTAGGGAGTTCCCAACTTTCTAAGTTTAATAATACATATATGTTTACTTAATAATTGGAATTGTGCACTGTTTATGCATTTTGCTAATGATTGAAAATTTATCAATAAAAGTTGGACACACTCATATTGTATTGTCAACTCTCTATCTCTGTGAGAAATTATTGATTGTTTTTTTTTTAACTTGCAAAGGCTGGATTATTGTGATTATTTATATCACATGGTTACTAAATATAAATAATGCCAATACAGAAAACAAAATAAAGCTCATCGATGTGGTGAAGAGAATGAAACAACAACTTTGTCAAACTTATTGTTAAAAGTGAAAAAAAAACTCTCTGATACACGTTCAATGCAAAGTAGGTGAAAATTATAAAGGAAGTTATTAAATACACCAAAATTAATTTAAAGAAACGATATCTGTATACGATAATTTGCACTGATCGACAATTTACTATGTATAAATTGAACTGTGTGTAGCATTACACAATAATTAAACAATCGATTATTATATAATCACAGTTTGAGATGAGATTGTTATAACTAATTTATATATGACCATTTTCTTCATCCTGTTTCAATGTAAATAAAATTCTAAAATCTATCTTCCGAAATTAAATATATACAGTAACGATTTCATATAAAAATCCTTTTATAAAAAACCTGAAGTTGTATGGAGTGTATTCTACATTATTTTTGCTTTGTTATTAAGCATTGACGCCTTAAGTAAAGTTGATGGAGTTAATTCATCATAGCGATTGAAGCGAAACACAGACTTTTGAGTAAATTTTGACAATGGAACATTTATGTTGATAACAATCGGTCATTCTGCATAATATATGAAGCATGGGGGAATAGCTAGTTTTTCACCACACGAATATATATAGAGTCCAGTAAAGATTTCAGTTATGTTAAAATTTTGTAAACTAGCAAAAGGATATCATTCATATCGAACGTAGATATGTAAGAAGCGTAGATTTGAACATGAAGGTAATTATTAAATAAGTGAAGCAGTCAAGATGTTCAACTACTTCACCCCATATCATAAGTTCAAGTACCGATGAAAGCCAACCCCGAAGAAACATTTTTCATTTCGATGAGGGAGAATCACATCCTAAACATGCTTGGATTGTTGCTTAAGGTGGTCAGAACACTAAATTTTTTCACCGTCTTCACCAAGCCTAACTATATCATCTGCATATTTTTAGTCAACAAGTGAACCTTCCGGTAAAAGTTCAACTCTTGGAAAGTCAGACGATGAAAGCATTGACTCTAAAAGCAAGTAAATGATAAAGTAAAATGAGAATAGAAAGAGTGGACAGCCCTGATGAACACCACTTGAAGTAATCAATTCCAATAACAGACAGTGTTATAAAACCTGACGATCAACAGAGACAGACGCCGCTTTGAGGTCCAGGAATACAACTACTGTGGGACGTCTGAACGTGTGTCTATGCTCTAGGACCTGACGTAGTGTGAATATTTGGTCTATACAGCCACGTCTAGGTCTGAAACCAACCTAGCTTCCTCGGGTTCGCCTTTCACTAGCTCTAATAGGTTGTTGAAGAATTATTGAAGCTAATATTTTAGACACTATATTAGTTGACCTGGCACCTCTGAGGTTGTCACATGAGTACTTTTGGGCTTGCTTATAGACCAGTCAGATTCTAATATCCCAACACTAATATAAAATAGCCATTTAAATTTCAATAGCATTCAGTCAGTCGTCTTTAGCGATGTTATTCGGTGCACACAAGATGCATGGAGATTAACAATTAACCTCAATTTATGAGACCTGAACTAGTCACTTGTTTTACCAAACATAAATTCATATACTCCACTTTGAGCTACGTTATGTGTACATTAATGATAGTATTCCAGTACACAAACCAAGATGTGAATGTAAGAAAGCTGAATGCGCTTACCATATAGTCATCACTTCTTAATTGTATACCCATTAATAAGCATCATGTATCTAACTTCACCAGTACTTACCCATGTATGAATGCATTTAATGTATTCTACGGCTCAAAGCCTACAAATTTCTTTACATGATACCAACTGAAAGTATTTGTAATTTTAACAGTATATATGCAAACGAAATAAATAGCCATTCTTCTTAAAAAAAATAAAGCAATACGTAATAAAAATGAGCTTACTTTCCATATATCATCGGTAAGTTTCTTTGCAATTTCTGGACTAGAACAACAGAATGATTTATCAGGTGATGTATTTAACACACGACATGCTTCTGAACGAAGAGTGCGCATTGATGATAATTGACGCGAAAATACGGCTTCAGCTATTTTTTTTATTTGAATCAAAAAAAATAAACATGTCAACATTAATAAAAATTGAAACAATTAAACTGAATGATGATTCAACAGAAATGATAGAATAGAAATTTTTAGGAACAGTTCGATGGATAATTAATGAAAGTAAATAGATAGTCAGTAGTATAAAATGTACAACCTATGCCGAATACTGATCGGCTCAAGTTGTCACAGTACAGAGGGAAAATGCGAATAAAGTGAAACTCAAAAGAATCAAATTCATAGCAGGTGTCGAAACAAAAAAATGAGCAAAAAAGAATGATTATATATATATATATTTATGGTGCTATGACCGTTTGCAAGTTATATCACTTAAAGTTTCTAATAAATTACTACGATTATCTAACCGATACTATTCAGGGGGGATACATATACCCGACAGACAGACAGATACAACGCGGAACTTCGTACATAAGTACATCAGTTCAGGTTGCCATACTACATCAACACACAGACGCAGCTGTCAGTTCAAATCCAAGAGTGATAGTGATAGTAGAAGTATTAGCAGTAATGGAGAAGATTAGGGAGCGATGATATGATTCGAGAAGTATAATTCAGTAACATAAATTTAGATGGAGATGATGAGGAAGTCAGAAGGTTAGGATTAAAAAGCACACAAAGAGTGGATGTATCTGCGCCATTGCAAACGATTCTGAGCCATGTCGTTCAAGGTCTCTAACCATTGATGACTTTCGTCTCACGGACCCCAACCAGATAGTCTACATCTACCAACATGACTCAGGCCGCCTGTCAGTGAATTCATGCATTTCTGCCATGTTTTGATCTGGTCGCCCCTAACTTTCTTCCAACCTACACCTACATCGCGAAACATAGCTCGACGAGGAAGTCGGTGGTTAGGCATACATAACACATGTCCCAACCACCTCAACTGATGAAGTTTCAACATTTCATCTATTGATTTGCCATCCTTACCTTAAACTCGTTTCCTAACGATAGCATTGCTAACTCGGGTGTCCCACAATATACGAGCAATGCTTCGAAGACACCTATGATCGAAAACCAGTAACCTACGAATATCTTCTACTCTCATTGGCCATGTTTCACAGCCATAAAGTAAGACGGAGTGAACTACTGCGCAGTGCACTCGTCCTTTAGTCAGCAAACGGATATCTCGCCTACGCCAAAAGTGACGCAGGTCGGCAAAAGTTAATCGAGCTTTCTGTATCCGTGCTGAGATTTCGTCAGTCACCAGGACATCAGCACTGATGAGACTACCCAGATAAGTGAAGCGGTCTACACGTTCGACTACTTCACTCCCTATCACTAGTTCAGGTCCCGACGCAACCCAGTCTTGTAGCAACATTTTGCATTTCGTCGGGGAGAACCACATCCCGAACATGCTTGCATTGTTGCTTAGGGTGGTCAGAAGACTCTGCATTTTGTCAGCGTCTTCACCAAGTAGGACTATGTCATCGGCATATTCTAGATCAGTAAGCGACTTTCCTGGTAGAAGGTCTACTCCTGAAAATTCAGACGTGGATAAGGTCATATCTAGGAGCATGTCTATGATAAAATTAAACAAGAATGGAGAAAGTGGACATCCCTGACGGACACCACTTGAAGTGAAGAATTCCGTTGACAGTTTGCCATAAGCTCTCAGTCGACCAATGGTGTTCGAGTAGAAAGCTTCTATAAGGTTAATGTACTTCTTTGGTACACCTTTCAATGACAGACACTGCCACAGAACCTCACGATCCACCGCCTTTAGGTCCAGGAAGACAACTATTGTAGGACGCGGAAACATAAACCTGTTAACTAGTTTCATGGGCAACAGTTCATTATTTGACTAATTCATGTTTTATGTTTTTATTTGATTTCAGTTTTAATCTCTGTTTTTTTCAATCTACTTCAATGTCAGTCATCATTGTATATTGCAAGTACGATATAATTGAAATTATTTATACTTTGAAAAAAAATGCAATTTACGTAAATCATACATTTCATAATAAATAATAGTGACAGTGCGAAAGAGATTGTACTTTAACCGCGAATCGAATAACAATAACAAACTAAGAATTATGAAGTTATTCAATAGTAAAGAGAGAGAGAGAGAGGAAAAAAGTAATAATCATAAATCATAGGTAACTTGATTCAATCAAATCATGTATTTGTTTTAAACGAGAAAAGAATAATTTCACTTTGAAACAAGAACATAGTTTATAATTATTTCAAATTTATGAAACATATAGGATACTAAAATTATAATTAGGCAATAATCATAAAATAATTAATTCTACACCCAATTGAATGTGAACACTAACTAGTGCCGAATAGAGAGTAAAGCAAAATATTACATACTACTAATGCTAAATAAGAATTGAGCAGTAAAAAAAAATGGATTATCTATAAATTAAATGTATTAAAAAACTAATTTTCATTTTCAATGAACTTGGGTATTCAATGTACACACACGAAAAAATCTAATTACTAATTATGTTGAATAGAGAACGCCCAAACTGAATATTACTACCCACCTAGAAGGCAACCAATGATTGCTAGTTTACTGGAGTGAAAATAAAATAAGGAACAACAGATGATGATGATAATATGATGAGATCCAGTTGAATCAAGGAAAGGTTTATGTTCTAAACTGTATTCAAAATATCAAGCATAGATACTTTACTCGATTGCACAAACTACGAAACCAGGCCAAGAATCATCGATTGAAGACAAAAGCTATCACATATTCGTATACTATTATTTTAAGTAACACCAGCAACTTACTAGTGACAAAAATAGGATTCCATATTTTTCAAGGATAAATACACAGATGTTATACACAAAATCTTTATTCTTATTAAAAGATACAAGTATTTTAAATTGAGTGATTACTAGTGACAGTATCAGACTAGTTACCATTTTGATGGACAGATTTTTTAACAGCTGAAAAATAATATTCATGAAATATCTCAATGTTATGTTGGATAATTTGTGCTAAATTTTTATACCAAAAACTCTTATATAGGTGTTATGTCAATAAATGACGAAACATAGATTCATGTACATCATCATTCTATGCCGATCGCACATAGATAGACCTATTCATGTTCACATAAGTAACGGAAGAGTAAATACTCCATGATAAGTTTGAAATCCACAAAATTATTATATAGTTTGCATAATGCAGTTGAATAGATGGTCCTGATTATCAAGTGATTACTAAACCAATAGACATTTAATGAGTTTTTAAATACGATCTGGTTTATAAACTAGGCTTTAAAATTAAACATATTTGCATATGATGTGACAATGAAACCAAGGTAATGAATTTAGAATAGTAACTGGATAGCGCATAAATGAGTATATTTGAACGATCAAAGTAAACTAGTTCATAATGCAAACTAATATGAACGCAATAACTACGTCAGTATCTATCATAGCTTCGTTTATTTCAAATCGATAGCATGTGATATGGGCGTCGTGTGTTGGTAAATAAGTCGGATGGAAATAACTCTGATAAACAAATAATTACCATTAATTTTTTTTTTGGTACGCTAATGATCTTCATATCATGACCATATATATATATTTTATAAGACGAAGTTTGATATGGTGTTGAAAATGCAGTAATATAATTTGTAATTTACAAGAAAGAAGTATATCAATTTCATCGACAAATGCGATGTCTTTTGATATCAGCTAATTTTCAGGGCTTATGTCAATAGCAAGATCATGTGACCTGCTGCTATCATCCGATGAATTTACATAATTTGAACTATATTCATGAATTCACTAAATAGACAGACAGACAGACAGATAGACAGAGATACAAAGTAGAACTTCGTACGTAAGTACATCAAATTCACGTTGCCATATCGCATTAGCACAGAGAGGTATGTTCATCATAGATCTAAAGCACATCATCTCACGAAAACCTCTAAGTCAAAAATCTCATAATCTCAGAGAAAATCTCATAGTTCAAAGCAATAAAAAGAAACAAATAATATGATTAGACACAATTCAAATCAGTGTAATATATATGCATTATTACAAGAAAAATACATTTTACTCGTGAAAACTATATACTCAACTTAAATAAATAACATGCAATGAATTAGGAGTCAGTGCACAAATTAGAGATAACTCACCAATCAGGGTTACAGGAACACCATTGTCAAGTCCACATATTGCAGTCCATTTACCAGTACCTTTCTGAAGATGAAAAAAAGAGATTTGAAGTTTTTAGGGTTTCATAAACTTACAGTTTACTTGAACCAATAATAACAGGTCATATATTTTTTGTCATTTAAAATAAACTCAGTGCTTCAAGATAAAATGCAGTAGCAGTTCAAAAATCCCACTTTACCTGAGAGTATTATAACTTAAAAAATTACACACGATATTATCAATTCAGTGGTTTTATCATCCATATAAGTAGTAATATGTAGTATGTGTGAAAGATCTATCATACATGAAATATTCACTTATGTTGTAAAGGTTGTTTAGTATGTACAAAGTCTCACAGTGACTCTGCAATACAATTTTACCATTATTTTTAGATAATCGGTGGTACGATAGCTGCTTTAAAGGTCAGTCACTACCATATGGGATTAGGAACTCATTGCTGTCTTATTCGCTTCTAATATATACTATGAAATCAAGAGTATTTGGCCATACAAAGTGTTATGCTATGTTTCCTTGCTTGTTCTAAGTTAAGATTTTAGAACAATTCTAATAATATTCATACAAGACGATTATCATATTATTTTGTTCCCTTTTTGTTATTATAATTTGATGTGATTACTTTGATGGCTCTTTGTAGTAAATGTAGAACTAGAAAAATTTTCAGTGCGAAATTAAAAGTACTATATCCACTGGATTTGGATATGTTAGTTTAGAGTAAGCGGTCAAATTCAGAGTCCCATTTATATTTATACCGATGAAAATCTAGGAAGTGGAGGCTCACAGGTATTCGTTTACTTTTTCGTAAGTAAATTTCATATGAACGGTGAATATAACTATCAGTTTATAAAACATCTTCATGAACACCTTTTTAATAATGATAAATGTATGATCTGTTTATGTGAATTGAATTCATGGTCTGATTGCATTCAGAAAAATATGCCGATTCAGTGCAAAAATTTCGTCATATCTATTCTAAAGAGTCATTATCACATCAGATGAAAATAAACAAAGAAAAGGAACAGAAGAATATAACAAACATTATGCAGTTGAATACTACTGAAATGTGTATTGCAAACTTTATAAGTTTACAGCAGATTATGAATATGGAAGAGTTTAGTGGAAACTTCATGAGTAAGAGTGAAGGTTTATTTGTCAATCAATGACAGTTATGTAAAACTTCTAACAGTATAAGTTGAATACTAAACGATACAATTCTGTAGGTAAATGCAGATATATTCTCTTCTTATGTTCATTTAGATGTTCAGTCCCACTATCCTTGCATGTATACCATTTTATTTCGTCTTCTTAAACTATATTCTGAATCTTTAAACTTTTTATTTTCTCATTACTACTACAGTGATTTTGAATCTTTTGTTATTCATCTTGGTGTTATTATTATTATGCTGTTTTAGTGTATAACACAACTTTGGATAACACAATTGTGGCAGAGTTTAAGTTGATCATGACTAGCTGAAAGACTGAAGATTAGTGTACTCATATAGGACACATCTTATATCATGAAAATTGGTGATTAAATCAGTTGCTCAAATGAAAATAAATGAATCATGGTTCATCTATTTACGTTATTGACTGAAAGTAAACTTGTTTAACAACTAAACTAATACTTACAAATATCAAACAACTTAAGTACAAGAAAATTATCTTGAAACAATAAAAGAATATTATCAGTTGCATACCTGCCCGGCAGCACCCAATATTTGATCGATTAAGTATGAACCATCAGGATTCTGGTAATTGAATATATGACTAGTTATTTCAATGAGATAAGATTCCAATGGACCTTCGTTCCATTCTTTGAAAACCTTTTTTTAAGGAGTTTGAAAATAAAAAAACTGTAATAGTGGGATGCACTCGATTTTTCGGATAAGAATTGATCCTTATAAGCTATCAGTGTCTTCATTTGCGTCGAGTCGTACTATCATCCATGTGTAGTTTACCATGAAAATGACTCGATTTGTGCCTAGCACAGAAGTAATCTGATACAGTCTTATAATCTGTACTTTGTAACAATATCAGTAGAGACAGAGATCAGTTTTCTACATCTGTTAACAATTGACTAACCTGGAGCTGCAACAGGAACAGGAAAAAGCTGTTACAATGCAGAAAGTAGTAATCAAACACACACCGATTACCACCAGCAGTTTCATCAATTAGTCCTGTCATAAAATGTAAACTAAAAGGTAGTGATGGAAAATTGGTTAGTGATGACCTAAAATCATTTGATTTGACAAGCAAAGAAGTTGGAACAAAAATGAGAAAGGTAAAACGGATACAGCATTAAACTGAAATATGTTAGGAAGTGTAGACCTCCTGAGTGAATAAACTCAATCTATGGTTGGAAACTTTGACAAGGCTGATAGTCAGTTGTAGTGTTCCAGATTTGTACACCTTTAGATATCAATACTATTAATATTATTGTTTCAAAAGTTTGCTATTGGTCTCTAAATTCATATCACCAAGCTTATGTGAAACGTGGCAATTACGATTGATGAGCATTTACGCAGAATAGACAAGAATCGATGGCACGATAACAGAAAATAAGGACAGGAGGCGTGGAAATTAGAGAGGAGTGCTTAAAAATTCATTAACAGAATAAATATAAAGCAATAAACTTAATTACTTAGAACCAGAAACAACAAAATACTTACTTGTGCTATTCCACTATTGTCAAAATAGCCTAAATTCCGTAACAAATGGTATGCTTCTGCTATCAACTGCATGTCGGCATATTCGATCCCGTTATGAACCATTTTGACATAATGTCCAGAACCAGCAGGTCCTGTCTAAATAATAAAATGAACAAAATTCATCCTAAAGGTAGTTTATTACTTTTATTAAAACGAAAGCATTGGCAGAAAAAAGCACCTAAATATTTATGCACATCATCGAACTTGTGTAGACTGAGTGTAGACAGGTGCCCAAACCGAAGCAGGTGGTTTTCTAGGGGCATCACTCCAAGGCTGGTTTGAAGGTCCGATACACAAGGCAGTAGAGCACCGTAAGGAGACCCAGTCCAACGGTATCCAGTGACCAACAATAAGCTCATACACCAATTGTTCCCTCAGGATCCTGAAGTTCATGTGCACCATCGGTTTGAGACCAGAGTCTGCCAACTCCCCTAAGTGGGCACTTTGTATCAACCAACCCATTCTAAGCACTGAAAATTCGCTTTTTGTCCTCTGGATTACGTAAACGAGACTCGTCACGAGAAGGCAGTGAGTAGGACTTCCCTGTCAGTGTCTGTATATGCGTGGCCATATGAGGACACTTCAGGAGGTAAGGCCGACCAAACTTACCTTCGGCATTTAGGAACATTATGAACGTAGAATAACATCTAATCACAGGGTATCGAGTGAAAATATTAAATAATATGTGGTACTCTTTATCTAAAGGTGGCCACACATACATTTAAATTGATAAACCCAATGAGATGTGATACAATCATTTATATGCTTTTCAGGTTTTTAATGAAGCATATGCCCAGTTTTTTCTATGAGGATAACTTTTGTTGTGCGGTAAGGTTTACTGATAACAAATTTGAGTCATTTTCTTAATATAAGGCTATTTGACTAACCTCTAAACGGTACGGTGATACAGAGAAGCTTTTCTTTACCAAAGATGCAATAGGTTTCACTATACTGTGACATTTCCACTGATTTATGCATTTTAAAGGGGAACCGTTCTCCATTAATGATTCGTTGAACAACCTCACTTCATTTTCAATAGCATCGTTTGTTCAAATATGATCAATCCTATTATACAGAACCATCATCGAACCGCGTTTGTACTGAACCGGGCAATAGCTATGATAACTAGGGTACTGGCTTGTACAAGTCGCTTTGTTAAAAATGGATAGTTTGATTGAACTATCTCATCTATTCATAAGTATGTCAAAAAAGGAAGCTGTATATTCTCCTTCTCTTTACATGAAAGACTTAAGTGGTTTTAACGTAATAAGTTTGTTTAATGAATAATTTATATCCTACACTTTATCACAGATAACTGTGATGTCACGTACATATCGTTTATAAAGTGACATCGCCCTGGAAAGTATTTACCTTCAAATCTGAACTGAATTTTATCAGTATATAAAAGTAACAAATTTTGTAAGACTGTTGTTGTAGGAACAGGTAGCGTAAAGTCGTTTAAAGACATATATACAGTCAAATAAAGACTATGGATACTTTATACATCACATGGTTTTGAAAACTTTTATCTTCTTATTACATTATCCAAATTTTACAAAAGGACTAATTACTTTAAGTGCCATTATTATCAAATGAACTTGACAAAGTTTTGTTTTTATTTCTAAACGAAAATCATTAGAATATAAGGTACAGCATATAATAATGAAAACAAAAAAATGGATCATCTTTTTAGTTCATAATCTCATCATTAAAAACTCTATTATTATAAAAACAAAATACTCTATTTCAATGAACCTACCCAATCACAACAAGGTTCACCAGACTTGGCTTTAGCTGCAATAGCTTGAAATATTGGTTTGATATGAGCCCTGAAAAAAATAAGGTGTACAGATTTTTAAAAAAAAGCCATGACGGAAATGTAAGGAAAAAAACAGAAGTAACGTTATTTCAGTGACATCGTAAGATAGTGTGAAAAATGTTTCTTGCAGGAAAAATCGAACGTATTCCTGTATTAGTCATAACTCTTGCAGCTAGTTCTAATATTCTGTAGTAGTGTCCAACATATTCAATTTGTGAAGCCTTTGACTACGTATCACGTAGGAAGAGTGACATAAGATTACACTTTTTGACTATTAAATGCAATTCATGAAAAATAGCTACTTATCGAAAAGTTGATCACAATTCTTTGATAGTTAATTCACATGACCATCAGGTAACAGGGCAAAGATAAGAACAACACGTTTGATTTTAAGTTGGAAACTTTAACATTCTTCAGTTCTTAATATAACACCTCCAGCACCTGATCGATGATCAAGTATGATGAGTCTTTATTGACACCATGTAAAATGACTCGATCTGTTATCGGCGCGCGTCTTGTCTAAAAACTATAATTTTTAGGTTTTACTTCAGAGAATAATTAGAACAATGAAAGCATTAAAGTTTAAGTGATAGTGATCGAATTTAAAACAAAGAAGCTTAACCTTAGAAACAGGTCAATTAAACTTTCAACATGATTGGTATAACTTTTGTACACTATTATGTCTATTTTTATTTGTTGTATTTCCATGATATGATGAAGAATTAAGAGGTCTCAATTCGTAGGAGTGAGTAACCTGCGAAATAGATGTAGTCCAAACATTCACAACACTCAACTGTATTTATTTTCGTGCTAATATTTCGTTTATAAGCATGTTATAATATTAGTTAAAAACCTTATCCGCCTTGCTAGTGGCCATGTCTTTCATCTCGAACCCTTCATGTTCCACTCAATAAGGCAATCCTGTGAGTAATCATTCAGCCATATCGTATTTTTTCACATGACTCATTTATCGACTATCTATTCCTTTATTTTAGAAGTTCAAGAAGGGTCGATTCAAACTCCTATATGACAGTCAATCTACAACCACGTATCAAAATACATAATATTTCATAGGTATCTTCAATAGATCATACTGAGATTTAAGGGTGAACACAAGTTTCTGAGAAATTGTTTCATGACTTGATGATGCAAGCAAGAAAACAACTTAGCGATACCAATTACCATATAACCAATTTCATACATTATCTAAAACATGTCACAGAAAACCACTTAGTTATATAAGATGACATAAAACTAGTATCCTTTTGATTCAGTGACAATAAGTCCAGTTAATACGGGTTAAGAAAATCCGCGTTAATTTTGCCAACCACCAGGTAGTTTGTCAAGTGCTATTAATTGAATGCTAGGACCAGAATACGTGGAGTATTATTGAAACTTGGGACCAAATGATTTCAAGTCAAGTTATTTAACCACTAAATAGATGTTACATGTGCGAATGATATTTTTACTCGACTGACGTATATACATACATATACATTATTTAAATAAAGTGAAATATATTTCAAAAATTTTAGAAACCAAACTTGGTAATATCTGATGGTATTTAAGGCACTACTACGATTATCTAAGCTTCTCGGATCCACGATAACAATTTGGTTGATAGTCGGCAAGTTGCAAAAACGGGTAGATTATTAATAGGAAATAGAAAGCCCGTGCGTTTACTGACAGTATCAAAGCAACTTACAAGCTTCAGGGTTGCCACCAGGCATAAGACTAGGTCCATATCTAGCACCCTCTTCTCCACCACTCACACCTGTGCCAACATAAAGGATGCCCATCTTAGCCAATTCAGAACAGCGCTATCAGTATCCATATACTCGGAATTCCTCCATCAATTATTATGTCACCCTTCTCAAGTAAAGGAACCTGTGACAAGTAAACAAATACAGGTGTGTTCGCGCAAGTGTATGTGATAAAAATTTCTCATGTAAAACTGTATTTTCAGAAACTTAAGGTGGTTGAAAGTTTCTAATTAAGCCAAATGTCTCATAAATAAGTTGGATATGTGAAACCGTTCACTAGTAATCGACTAGCTTTTGTTATAGATGCACAAATATCAACTTAGGATATAGGTTTTGTCTCATATTTTGAAACGTCTTTGTCGTGTACCACATAGTTAGATAACTGAATATATTCACTGCAGGCAAAGAGTTTCGAACTACGAATACCCGAACAAACCTTACCTCGTAATGACATTACGAAGCTGCTAGTCAAACAAATAGGTATATATATAAACATACATATATGGGTTGTTATAGTTGGAATTAGAAAACCGGGATATCAACAAAAGGAGATACTCAGGAATAGAAATCACAGTGGAAATTAATATACAAATAACACAAATAGAGAACGCCCCCCAAACACATTTGCAAATCAAAGAATATTGCTATGCTAATGATTCAAAGGAGTCAGTCAGTCAGTCAGATGCAACGTAG